ACAGGTTCCTCTGCCATCATCTGTTCCTAGTCTCAGCCAGCCTGGATAACCAGCATGTGCCCACACCTGGCATGTGCAGAGGGGACTCAGGGAGCAAACCTGTCACCTCCTCAAGAGGGTCCAGCATGACAGAGAACACCAGTACTGCCCTGCTACCAGCTGGTTCCTAAACCCTTAAGTTTTTAGTCAGCCAAATATACTATACCAGACCTTTGGAAAGTATTGAGGCTAGCCTCATCTCAGAGTTAACTTTTATTTTGTGTTTCATTTTAAGTTTTACTCCATGAGGACACACTATTACCTTCACATTACAGGTTTGAGAACACAGTGAAAACTTCCCCAGTAAAAAGATGATATACCAATAAGAGAAAACAGCAGAGGAGCTCGAAAGTTGTTACTATAATTAACTACCTTGTAGTTAATTAATTTACACATTGTATTTCAAAAAGAAATGAAGAGAATTTGAAAATGAATAGGTATCATGTTCTCTTACATACCTGAAGAATGCCTCCATCTGTAATTAGAATGTTTTCTGCTTGCAGTTCAATGTTGGCTTCATCAAATATTAGAGTTCCACCTATAGGCCATACAAGTTTGAAGTTGATCACAAGGAAAAGTATTATTAAAAATTATCCATTAAATTAGAAATTAACATCTAATTTCTCATCCCTGTACTACTATTGCTATGTGTGTGACTTCACATCATCTCTTTGGTGACATGAAATATAAAAACTCAGTTAAGTCCCTTGGAGTTGACAGAAAATCAAATTCTAGGCAGATGATTTTTTCTCCCATTTGTTATTTTATGTGCTATTAAATATTGTAGCACAGTTATGCAAAATAGTTCTACAACCACAGGGCCTCAAGATATAAATGAAGAACAAAGGCAATAACACTGAAAGAAAGGTATGCTTTAGGAAACCATGCTAAGTGCACATTAGCTATGAACTTTTACCCACTATACTAATTTACAGTAGCAACAGCTACCGTCTAATTAGAATATTGAAAACATACTGAGGTGTACTTTTTATGAGGCTAATGTAAATTTGTAGATAGTAGAACTTTACTTGTCCCAAGGTCTAATATTTAATAACTGTAACATTGCTATTAGCCCACAAGTTACAAAATAAAAGCAATGCAGAAGATTTTCAGCAGCTAAAACCATTCTGACCAAATTTATGCACTAAATAAAGCCCAAGCACTTTACTCTTGCCAATTCATGTTTCTCTTACATGCAGTTGTAGCTATTTCTTTCTCTATAACAAAAATAAAATATCAAGGAACAGAAGGAACCCCAGGAAACCACTGATGGCAGGTTCACAGGCAAAGGTGAGTACAACCTGGCTCCCAAGGGGAGACGCTGGGGTCATTTAGGATAGAATTTATAACCCCTGGTACCTACTATACAGTGTTTGTCAAAGTAGAAAATAACTCTTGCTGTTGTGATCAATGCAACGCATGTGCATGGGTGAACTCATACCCCACTCGCCAAGAGTTACTGAAACACAAATTTCGTAAAACAATCTTTAACTTTAAAAGGTATTTATCCATATGTATTTGATAAAGTTTTCTTTTTTCTATTCTATTTTATTAAAACATACTGGTTGCAATAAATGATATAATACCATAACCATAGGGAGAGTGCAATACTCAATTTCAAAAACTCAGCCCTAGACTCTATTAAAAACAGGGCAATAATAGAGATGTTCATAATCATAGATTTTGATCACATTAACTTCAAAAGATACTACGCAGGCAAAGTTTAAAAACAGATTTCCAGAATTTACCCTGAATAAGCAACATTTTCAGAATAGGGGTACTTTGATCCAGCAAGATTGTCTGTCCTTTTGTAATAACAGCAAGTGACCCTTCCTCTGGGGGAGATCTTCCTCCCCATGAGAAGTTGGAAGACCAAGCATCAACATATAAGAAGTCCACATTATCCTGTAATAGAACATGACATATTTTTAAGTTTATAGGTTTTTGTCATAATCTTTTATATAATATCCCCAAATTTAAAAAAATGTAAAATAATAAATATTTTATTAAAAATAAAACACAGCCTAATGTAAATATATTCTAACTGCCTCATGGTTTATGTCATGATAATTATAAAGTGTACATTTTATTACCAATTACCCCATAAGTAGAATAATTAAAAATCTGAAATAATATTTTAGTAACAAGCAAAAATATATAAGTTACTTCAAATTTATTTTAGTCACAGCTCAGCTATCTTTTGGGGGACAGGGGTACATGAAGGTATAACATCCAGGGCCAGCCAATGGTGTGGTGGTTAAGGAGAATGGATCCCACATGGCCAACCGCATGGTTTGAGTCTCAGTCCCACCAACCTGAAAAACATGTCTGGTGCATGTGTGTGCATGCCCAAAATCCTGAGAGGAGAATAGAAGAAAGGGGCTTGTGTAATGGCCATCCCCCCCGGAGGATGCTTTCTCATTTTCCCTCTCTCTCTCTCTCTCTGGTGATCACATGTACTCTATATCAAAACTTCAAAACAAAACAAAACAAAAGAAAGAAAAGTAACACATCCATTACCAACCACCCAACCCATCCCCCCATTAATGCTGGCTTGCAGTTAATGGGATCACCACGCCCACCAGCACTATTACCACCTTGGCCCTGCCGATTCTGCTGACATGGACATGGAGTGGCGCCCACCCCGAAGGAGTATGGGCACTCGTCATGCAGATGATGTGTGTCTTGTTGGAATACTCAACATCACATTTAGCTTCAGCTATGGCGACTTGAACATCTTCCATGTTTTCACTATAAAGATAAAAGAGAAAACCAAAATATTTGTTTTTCTCAAGTTCTAGGTCATGATGTCAAATCCTTTCCTTTATATGTATTATTACAAAAGTAATGATCTTACTCTGTGATCCATCCAAGTGTGATTGACTTTTTTCAGTATTTAGACTTCAAAATATTTTTGAGAAAAAAATGCAAAAGATTAAGAGGCTAGGAAACAGGACTGTACAAACTAGCAGATATTTCAATCTTGGAGAAAAAATTGCCCAGGTTCAATTTATTGAGAAATCCTATGGTGGTCTCTAAAGCAGCACCTTCGTGAGAGACTTTCTAGGATTTTGTTTATCCCCCCCTAAAAAAAAAAAAAAAATTCCAGAGGGCGTGTGCACTCACAGGAAAAAAGACAGAGAGCAAAAGACAGAGGGCTTGTGAGAAAGCATCGTCCTCCTCGTGGGATGGCCATGCCACAATCCCTTCTCCTCCATTCTCCTCTCGGGATCTTGGGAGCGCATGCACACGCCACCGGGTCCGGGACACGAACCACGGTCGACTACGTGGGAGTCCAGCGACATAGCCATTACGCTAACTGCTGGTTCCCATGATATGAAGTTTTGAAGTGAACCTGGTCCACTTGAAGTATGTTCACTACGAAACACAAATCTGAGCCAATTCTTAAGAATATTTAAAGAGTATTTTTAAGAATAAGGAACTAATCAATAACCATGGAAAAATCTACATCTGATAGCTGCCCCCACTCCCACCCCAATCTCCTCAATGAAACAGGTCATGATTGGAGAAGAGGTCTTGGGAGTCACAAGGGAATCACACCTGTGATAGATTGTACTAAGATTTAGAACAAGCTTTTTGTTGTTGTTGTTCTTTTTAAAAAATTTTTTGCCATAGGGCACATGCACTCATCAGACTGTGAAAAACAGAGACAGAGAGAGGGAAAATGAGCAATCACCCCCTGGGAGGATGACTACTCTGCAATTCCTTTTCCCCCATTCTCCTCTCAGGATTTTGGGCACACACACACGTGTGCCCTGTGTAAGTTTCAAGCCTCTGCTTTCAGACTCTGACCTTGGTGGGCCATTTGGGAATCTGGCACCTTAACCACTATGCAACCTGCTGGTCCCAAAGGCAAGTTAAATATTTAAAATCTCTAAACTCCATCTCTTCATCATAAAATAGAATATCTCATAAAATATAGCAGAAAGTTTCTGTAGGTAGGAAGATGCCAGGCACAGAGCACTCAGTGAATGTTAGCTATTAGTACTATTTTGTGCCCTGACAGTGACTTATAACCATATAGGTTCATATTACATGACCACATCAAAGCACTGTCCTGGCATCCAAGAAAGCAAGTGTAATGACTTGAATGGAAATATGCACTGATACATGTGTGTAGGTGGTACCTGAATCCCGATCCCATGACCGTCAGTCTGGTGCCCCCTGCTGTGCTGCCTCTCTTGGGAGATATTTCAAAGATGAGCGGAGTCAGTGACATAGTGTAGGTAAATGGAGTTGTGGACTGTGACAGATCTTTCCCATTGACCACACTCACTTCACAAGCTTGTTCAGGGCCCTTGCCTATGAGAACAGATCAAATGAAGTAAAGCTGTGTCATCAGGCCATTATTTTCAGACCCTCCAAATATTTTCAAGATCATTTTCCTTTTCCATAACCTCTTTCCAATATATACAGGCTACATAAAAAGTAATACAGACTTCTAGCAATAGACAAACCATGACAAAGTTCATGCACATTATCAACGTGGAAAAAAATTGGACTGTCTGTCAGCTTCTTATTGTAGACAGTTCTATAAAACTGCCTGTTTGGTTTCCGGTCCTAAGGGATTGAGTATTGCAAATTTGAATAGGAAAACAAATGAACCACAGGGGCACTGATAACAACAAGGAGGGACAGCTGAAGGTTAGGTAAGAGACAGAAACCCCATATAAAAATGGAAAGAGCAGCAGCAGAGCCAGGGTTAAGACAAACAATGTAAAAACCTTGACAAATCTCAATAGCATAGCTGCATATTTTTATTAGTATTCAAACTCTGGTGTTGAAATCATAAATAAACTTAGTCATAAATGTTTACATTTTTATCAATATTCATCATTTAAGAAGTCAGAGAAAGAAGCAAAAATATTTAGGCTAGCTTCATCTAGTTTTATTAATATTTTTAAAAATATTTATATGAAGCATATAATTTGTTCATCTATAACAATCATGTCATTTAAATACTTCTTAAATTTTGTTAAATAATAACTAAAATTTGTTGTGCAAAGTACCAGATATTAAACTTCATAACAACTTGCTAAATTAGGGGTGTTAATATCTCCTTTTTAATTTTTTTTAAATTTATTATTTATTTATTTATTTACTTTAAGAGAGGTTTTTGCTATAGGGCATGCTCACTAGAAAGACAGAGAGAGACAGAGACAGAAAGTGAGAAGTCACTCCCCAGGGAGATGGCCATGCTATAATCCCTTCTCCTCCATTCTCTTCTCGGGATTTTGGGCACGCACGCACAGGCATCCGGTATAAGTTTAAGCCGCCAGGTCCGAAACTCGAACAGCGGTCAACTACAGGGGAGTCCAGTGATGTAACCATTATGCTATCTTCTGGTCCCATATTTTTTAAAGACAGGGTCTGGGTGTGTCATTATCCTTCTGCTTCATCCTCTTGAGTTTCTGGGATTGCAGGTGCACGTTTCTGCACCTGGCCTTGTTGTTGGACCAGGAATCAAACCTATGACTCCCATGTGGTCTGACTGTGTAATACAAAATCTTAGCAACATGCTAAGATGGTGACCGAAAAGTAATAGAGAAGTACAGAGGAAAAAATGGTAAGATAAGTTACAATACAAAAAATGTGGAAGTGGAATGCATTAAAAGGAAGGTATTTCAGAAATGTTATCATTTATGACAATGTGAATTTAAAATTTGTATTAAATCTTTTATTTTTTTTTAAATAATTTTTTGAAAAACACATAAACCTAGAAAACAAAGTCCTTATGAAATTGCTTAAAAAACTTGGACTAGCCTGTGACCCGGTGGCTATTTGAGCTGCATCCCACCAGGCTAACTGTATGATTCAAATCCTGGACCCAACGGCTTGAGAAACATGCCAGGCACATGTGCAGGCATGTCCAAAATCTCAAATCTCAAAAAGAGGGAGAAGTGGAGGAGAAGGGGTTGTGTGGATAACCATTCCTTGTGGGGGGAGATTGTTTTCTCACTTTCCCTCTTTCTCTCTGTGTCCAGAGACCACTCATGCTTTCTAGTGAATTTTTAAAGATTAATTCATTAAAATCAGGACAGTAGTAAAAATGGTTCAGTAACCTCAAAGAATCCAACACCTCGAAAAAAAAATCAGTGTGCAATATTTATAAAATTAATCATTTCTCAGATGCTGTCATTTTTTTTTCCTGACAACTTACCGTTACTTGGTGGAATTTCACATAATAATGTAGTATAATCAGATCTATTTCTGTCAATTGCACATTCTGAGCCACAAAGTAGTATAATTGAATTTTGTGGATTAAACCCAGTGCCTGTCACTGTCATGATTTGACCACCACCAAAGCTCCCTAGTGAAGACAAATAAAATGGGAAAACAAAGCTAATTAAAAAAAAACTTTCTCTGTGTACATATTTGTTTAACTTTAAAATCTGAAATAAAAATAAGCTACATTAAATAAAATTGCTCTTAGAATTAAATATGTTCTATTATTACATTAATACACAGAATCTTTTTTTAATTGTAGTGTTTTATAAATCTCCACAGAGTAAATGTCTCATCTGGTAATTAACTAAAATTTTATTTAAAAGAGATGTCATAAAGAACTTCAGAGAAGTCGAAACATACTTGGAAACTATAAAGTTATTATTTAATTGACTACACTGATTATACTTTCTAAAGGCTTTTAACCATTAAAATAATTTTCAACTAGAAAAAGATACTCATTTATGCAGACACAATTACATGCCAGTGATGTTTAAACATGATTTTTAAAATTTCCACGAACACCCTGGTCATTTTAAGTAGGGCTAAATTTTAAATAAATTATATAGGGCTAGGAGAAATATAAGGTATTAAAATAATATTTGGAAATGATTAATACTTCTGAGTGCTTATTTGTTCTATACATGAACAAAAATGTTCTAGTAAGTATAAATTTTAGCAGTGTTTGAAGAACATATTTTTTTCCAAATAAGATAGATGTTGATTGAGACAATGTAAAATATTTGCAGCTTCCTGCATATTCATGAGTACCTTGGCTCGGATGTATATTTTGAATATTAAGTGGGTATTCAAATACAACCGTGGACACGGCGGAGCCTTTTGTCTTTCGATGCATCATAACAGGAAAGGTCCCCCCAGCGTGTTCTCCAACGATGCACCGCATGGCACTGTCATTGACCAGGATTAAGGCACACTGAGCGTTATTTATCATCACCACAATTTCCATGATATCAGTGCCAAAGTTAGATCCAGTAATCTCAACTTCGGTTCCTGGTGGTCCTTCAAAAAAGCACACAATTTAAATTTATCTAAATTTTAACACTTACACATTTAGAGATATACTTCTTTAGTTCTATGAATAAAACAAAACTCAGTGTTTTAAAATAAATACAAACAATAACAATACATGCTGTGTCATATATATTTTGACTACAATATGCACTATCATGTTGGTTGTTAAGTGATTTATTTCAATGACCATTTCTATCCTCTGTCCATTCTACTGACATTTAAATCACTAGTTCAGATTAGTAGAGAAAGGAAAGGGAGGGACCAGCAGTTAGCGTAATGGCTATGTCGCTGGACTCCCATGTATTCGACCGCGGTTCGCATCTCGGACCCAGTGGCTTAAAACTCATGCCGGGCGCATGTGCGTGTGTGCCCAAGATCCTGAGAGGAGAATGGAGGAGAAGGGATTGTGATGTGGCCATCCCCCCTGGAGGGTGATTTCTCACTTTCTGTCTCTCTGTTTCTCTCTGTCTGGCAAGTGCATGTACCCTATAGCAAATAACCTCTCCAAAAAGAAAAAAAACCACATATACAGACTCTTTTGGGAACCAGCAGATAGTGTAATGGTTACACTGTTGGATACACAGTCAACCACAGTTTGAGTCATGTACTTGGTGGCTTAAAACTCATGCTGGGCATGTATGTGTTGCATGCCCAAAATCTCAAGAGGAGAAAGAAGAAGAAAGGATTGTAGCATGGCCAATCCCCACAGGGGGGACATGTGTGTGAGAGAGAAATTTCTCACTTTCTGTATCTCCAGCGAGTGCACACGCCCTGTAGCAAAGTCTCAAAACAAAAACAAAAACAACCCCAAAAACCAAAAAACCCAAACAAACAAAACTATATAAATATAGATAGACAGATAGATAGATAGACATAAACTTTTTATCTTTTAAGAATGAAGAGGGGACCAGCACGTGGCATGGTGGTTAAGGTGCTGGGCACTCCCACATGGCTGACTATGGTTCAAGTCCTGGACCTAGAAGCTTGCTTTCTCATTTTCCCTCTCTCTCTCTCTTGACAAATTTTAAGAAAAGATTAAATGAATGAATAAATAAAACTAAATAAAAATAAATCTTAAAAAAAAAAGAATGTTTGAAGAAAAAAGTTAACATCTTTTTTTTTTTTTTTTAAATAAGGTTTTCACCATTCAGCATGTGCACATGCGAGAAAGAGAGAGGGGAAGTGAGAAGCCACCCCCAGGGAGGATGGCTGCACCACAATTCCTTCTCTTCCATTCTCCTCTCGGGATTTTGGGTATGCACAAACACATGCCAGGAATGATTTTCAAGCCTCTGGGTCTGTGGCTTAAAACTCAGAGTCAACCATGTGGGAGTCCAGCACTTTGACCATCATGCAGTGAAGAAAGCCATGCTATGAAGGAGAGACATTGTTTGTCCCCACTTAATGTATACCGAGTGGCTGCACTCTATGACTGAAACTAATTGTCTAAAGGATATAGAAACACAGTATATAGATGAAAATACCAGATATAGTGTGTGTGAAAGAGGAGGGTCTGAGGAAGGACATTTGGGGAAGGGACAGGGAGGCAAAGCATTAATGGCACAAAAAGGTGTGGTATTATCTGTTGAAGATATTTCGTAGTTTTATCAGCAGTACTAGGGAGAGGTGTTCATCTGTTGAAGTATCCATTTTGTAAGACAAATAATAATATGATTGAATGTATGGAAGAAAATTAAATGAAAAAAATAAAAAGAGAAAAAAGAAAAAAGAAAGGAAAGGGAAGGGAGGAGAGGGAAGAGGAGAAGGATGTCTGGATGTCTGAGCAGGGTACAGTGAGTTAGGGCATATTTTTAAAATGAGGCTTACATGTTTTACTTCTGGTACATTCCTGATTAGTTAGCAACTCCTTTGGAAGTGGACTGTATTTTTCCTAATTCAAATATTTTCAATATATATGACTTGATAAACAAACTAAGATATGTAAATAGGTATAAAGATAGTAAATAAAGAAAAATGATTAATTTTGAAGATTTATAGGCAAATATTAATATTAATCTCTTGAGTAAATGTACACAGAACAAAGTATTTCTTTCTTTTTTTTTTTTTGGAAAGGTTTTGCTATAGGGCATGTGCGCTCACCAGACAGACAGAGAGAGACAGAGAGACAGAAAGCAAGAAATCACCCCCCAGGGGGGATGGCCACCGCAAACCCTTCTCCTCCATTCTCCTCTCAGGATCTTGGGCACACACACACACGTGTCCAGCATGAGTTTTAAGCCACCAGGTCCAGGACTCGAACCATGGTCGACTACATGAGAGTCCAGGGACATAGTCATTATGCTAACTGCTGGTCCCAGAACAAAGTATTTTGATCTGTCTGTCCCTTTGTTTCCTAATTTTGTAAATGTACACTGAGGGCATTAACTGTATATAATTTTTCATATGTATTCAATTGAATACTTGCATTCCCACATTTAAAAATATTTAATTATCTTTTTTTTTTTTTTTTTTTACTTTTTTCTTTAGTTTTTGCTATAGGGTATGAGTGCTTGACAGAAAGAGAGACAGAAAGTGAGAAATCACCCCGCAGGGGAATGGCCATGTTGCAATCCCTTCTCCTCTCCTCCATTTTTCTCTTGGGATTTTGGACATGTACACCCTCATGGAGTGATTTTCAAACTGCTGGGTCCAAGACTTGAATCCCACAGTTGGCCATGTAGGATCCAGCTGACTCAACCACCACATCACCTTTTGGCTGCTGCGTAACTACATTTTAAATGAATAGATATTAATCAATGTAACTATTACAAATGTAGAGCCCTAAATTAGCACTTTGATTTTAATTGAAGTAGTAATAGTAAGGACTACAGAATTGCTCATAGCAGGATTACTGAAATATAAATAATTATATTTATAAATCATCATTATATAGAACATAAATGTCAATTAGATATTTCATGTTAGATGCTAAAAATGTTTAGTCTTAAAATTTTAATTTTGTTTAATTTTATACTTCAAAGAGAGCAACGTTTTTTAAGTGTGATCTATTGCCTGTTTTCTATACCGCTCAGTTTTTGTTTGTTTACAGCTCTCTTATTCTTCAAATAGATTGTTTTGAAAGAGACAGTCAAAGAAAGGGGGAGAAGAAAATGGTCCATAGACATAAAGAACATATACTATTACTTGTGATAGTTAAATATGTGGGAAAAAATATGTCATTGTTATTATATTACTTCTAATATTATAAAAGAATTTTCTTCTAAATGAGCAAACTTGATATGTTAAAGAAAATTTCAACAACTAACTTCTTAGTCTTTACCCAAACCTGATACATTTCCCTGTTATGTAAGTTTTTTTAAAATTTATCTTATACATTCAATTACTGTACATCACTTGGCTTATAAAGTGAATTTACCCAACACAAATACACCTCACACCAGTCCAGGTGAGGATACTATACATGTTATCATCAACAAATAATAATCCATATACATGTCTTATCTCTCTATTTTTTCTCCTTAATTTCTTTCATAAAACTCTCCACCTTCTCCTACCTTCTTCCCACACAGTCTATAGTATGTATAATAATTTTCCATGCTTCTATGTCCTCTTATTTTAAAAGACTTTTTTAAAAGGTCAGCATTTAATAAAGAATTTATTAAATGTACTACTCTAAGTTACATTATATTAATGCACTTCTTTAACTTCGTAAGGTGGACACCTGCATATATAAATAAACTGATGTTTGGGTCAGCAGGTGGCATAGTAGTTAATGTGCTAGACTCCCACATGGCTGACCGTGGTTTGAGTCCCAGATTCAGCGACTTGAAACTCATGCTGGGTGTGTTTACATGCATGCCCCAAATCCCAGGAGAATAGAGGAGAAGGTACAGTGATGTGGCCATCTCCCTGTGGAGTGATTTCTCACTCTCCCTCTCACTGTCTCTCTCTGTTTCTCTGGTGAGTGCACGCCCTGTGGCAAAAACCTAAAATAAAAGTGAAAACGATGTTTAAAAATCTCATCCAGGGGCCAGCAGACACATATGGTGGTTAGAGTGCTGGACTTCTACATGGTCAACCACAGATAGAATCGTGGATCTAGCAGCTTGAGAACACCAGGCAGATGTGCATGCCTGCCAAAATCCTGAGAGGAGAAGGAGCTGTGTATGGCCATCTGTCCTGGGAGCTTGATTTCTCACTTTTTCTCTCTCTGTATATCTCCTTGTCTTTCTCCTGTCAGGTGAGTACATGCACCCTATGACAAAAACAAACAAACAAAAATATCTCATCCACAGTTTCCTGAGAATTAGAAGAACCAACGTTTTAACATGAGTATCAGGGCCATGCTGTTAACCATTATTCCAGAATCTGCTACACAGATGAAAGCTCCCCAACCCAATAGCTTGATAAGAAGCAGCAAAGTATGACAAAGGACAAAGAAGACATCTCAATTTGTTCTTAGCTTAGAAAAACATCATGCTAAATAACTAAGTAAACCTTATAATATTTTCTTCATCTGAATGGACCAATGACCACTTTTAAAAAGAATTCTGTTGTGCTAATAATAACTGGGGTTTTACTAAAATAATGTACTCTGAAGAACTGTCAATGTCAGTAAGCTTGATTATTATGAATTTTAACAGATGTTTCATGTGCCTATCAATTGTTTTATTTATTTTATTTTAATTATTGTTATTATTATTTTCTATAGGGCACATGTGTTCACCAGAGAGAGACGAGAGGAAGACAGAGAGAGAGAAGAAGCCACTAGGTCCAGAACTCGAGCCATGGTCAGCCATGTGGGAGTCCAGCACTTTAACCACTATGCCACATTCTGGTCCTATGCCTATCAATATTAGTGACATAAATTAATTACCAACTTAATTTTGTTCCTAAACAGAATTTGAAATTTGGCTAAAATATTTATCCCAAAATGTTTTTAAAAATCATAAAATAGAGACTACACAGAACATGAAATCCACGAATTTAAGTTATGTTGTCTAAAACCAAATCTTAATAATTAAAAAAAAATATTATTCCCAGGGGGACCAGCAGTTAGTGTAATGGCTATGTCGCTGGACTCCCACGTAGTCGACTGTGGTTCAAGGCCCGGACCCGGCTGCTTAAACTCACGCTGGGCGCGTGTGCATGTGTGCCCAAGATCCTGAGAGGAGAATGGAGGAGAAGGGATTGTGGCGTGGTCATTCTGGACTGGATGGTGATTTCTCGCTTTCTGTCTCTCTGTCTCTATCTGTCTGGCGAATGCATGTGCCCTATAGCAGAAACCTCTCAAAAAAAAAAAAAAGTATATTATTCCTGGTCAGCAGGTGGCACAGTGGTTAAGGCACTGGATACCCACATGATTGACTGCAGTTTGAGTCCTGGATCCAGCAGCTTGAAACTCATGGCAGCCATGTATGCATGCACGCCCTAGATCCTGAGAGCAGAATGGAGGAGAAAGAGTTGTGGCATGGCCATCCCCGCTGAGGGGTGATTTCTCACTTTCTGTGTCTCTGTCTGTTCAGCAAGCACATGCTCCCTATTGCGAAATCTCTCTAAAAAAATCATGACAACTCTATACTAACAAACATTGCTGATAATATGATATCAAGATAATAGAAAGGAAGGTATTGGAATACCTCTATTTGGCACAATTCCTCTGAGAAAAGGAGTATCCTCCAGTGCATATGTAAATGACAAAGGTGGATAAGCGATTGTATTCACAAAGATCTTCACAACAACCATTCCAGCTGCCCCTGCTGAGGTGTGGCAGTAGACATTACTGCTGTTGACAGAAATAATTTGACAAGGGTTATCCCCAACAGTGACTGTGATGGTCCCAGGGTAGAAGCCATTTCCAGTGATCACCAAAGTAGTTCCACCACCAATGCTTCCAGAAGCCGGTGAAACAGATGCCACTGCGGGGCTGTTGACAGTCAGGTTTCCCCGAGCTAGACCTTTTGTTCCCACCACAACACTAAGAGAATGCAGTCCAGCTGGGAGAGGAGTCACTAGCACAGTGATGTTATTTTCATTCACATCTATGGCTCTCAACTGTTGATTTCCAATGAAAACAGCAATCTCCTCCAATATAGAACCAAAACCTTCTCCTTCAATAAGAACTTTTCCAGAGCCTTTGATAGAGTTAGGGAAGACTCCTGTTACACAAGGAGCGATGCTTTCTAAGTATGAAAAGCTGCAGTTCCCCTGACACTGGGCAGGCACTCCATGAATGAGAAGATCTACAGCCACAAGTTGCTGGGGAGCAGGAGAAGTTTCACATTCAATGGCTGTGTAATTCACTGACAGAACTTTACAGGGGAAATGGCCCATTAGGACTTGGACACCTGCAGGAGAAACTGCAAATCCAGAGCCTTCGATGATCACTCTTGTCATTCCTGTAGTTGATCCTGCACTTGGCAACACCTTGGCGATGTGCGGCAAAAGTACGAATCGCCTATCAAACTCATCCGACAGTGTGCTGATAGCAATGCCCAGGTTGTAGACGGTCAAAGTGACAACTTCCCTGATACCAACATCCATTGAGTTTTGTGGATCAATATGACATGTAATAGAATTGTCACTGCTTTCTTCCACAACACAGGGGTAGCTTCCAATTGTAATCTGAAAGTTAAATGAATATGAAATAAAAAAGTAAATACATTCATACTAAAATGAACATAAATTTTGTATTATCAATAACTATAATTTTAATAGACAAACTTCATTCCTAAAACAATCTAAATGTCCATTAACTGATGAATAGTTAAATAAAATGTAGTATACTGGGGTAAGTAGGTTGTGTGGATGTTAAGGTGCTAGACTCCCACATGGCTGAGAGCAGTTTGAGTGCCAGACCTAGCAGCTTAAAAATCATGCCAGGCATGCGTGTGTGCGTGTGCCCAAAATCCTGAGAGAAGAATGGAGGAGAAGGGATTGTAGTATGTCCATCCCCCTGTAGGAGTGATTTCTCATTTTCCCTCTCTCTGTTTCTCTATTTTTGCCCTACGGCAAAAACCTTAAAAAAAAAAAAGTAGTATACCACATAATGGAATATCATTAGATCATAAAAAGAAACGAAGTACTGACACATAGTCCAACAAAAACCTTGAAAACATGCTAAATGAGAAAAGCTGGTTAGACCAGACCAGGGTGGTACAGCAGTAATGCAAATGCCCCGTAAGGCTTGAAGCCATGTATGGCTGGTCATGGGTTCAAATCCCTGAGTTGGCTTGAAAGCACAGCAGGCATACATGTGGGGACCCAGGATCCTGAGGAACTGGAGGACTGGAGGATGAGGATGACCGCATGATGACACCTTACTGGGGTTCTTCCTCTCTCTCTCTCCCCCACCCTCTGTCACGTGGATGCATGTGCTATCATAAAAGAAAAGTAAAAAGCTATTCACAAAAGATCACTTAGTGTATGATTTTATTTGTAAGAAATGTCCAGAATAAGCCAATCTAAAGAGACAGAAAGTAGGTTAGTAGCTGCATTAGCCATGGGTGGATGGAGGTGTTATGGGCAATGCCTAAGGCTCCCTTGGCGTCCTTTTTAGAGTAACTAAATATTCTAAAATTTATTGTGGTGGTGGGTGCACAATTCTGAATATGTCACAAGCTAATTAATTGAACATTTTGAATGCGTGAATTGCATGGTATGCGAATTATATCTTAATAAAGTTGTAAAAATTAAATTGAGAGATTATGGTCAAAGCATGTTCCTTTTATTGAGTATATGGAAGTACAAAGGACTGGGCGCATGAGTGTGAGTGCCCAAAATCCCAAGAGGAAAGCGGAGGAGAGGTATTGCAGTGTGGTCATCCCCCCTGGGGTGAGAGTTCTCGTTTTTTGTCTCTGTCTCTCTCCATCACTACGGCAAGTACACATGCCCGATAACAAAAATCTCTCAAAAAAAGAAAAAATACAAAGGAAATTTTATATTCTTACCTTATTAGCACATGTGAGATTACTGAAGCCATGTCCAATAATTGTTATCAGTTCATTGACTGTTCCAGCAGATGGAGTAATGTTGCTTATAGATGGTGAAAAACAAGTTGAAAGCTCAAAGAGAAATCTATTTGAATTTTTAGCCCTGCTATTATGCGGGCCACACACGGGTTCAGTTGCTAAGCAGCTTGCCACAGAGCTCCCCAAGTGCAAATTCTCAGGTCCTCCTTTAGACAAAAGAACTGCCTGTAAGTCATGGCACACACCCTAAAACCACAGCTGTATTCAGACTGAATTACTCTTTATATTCATAATGGTAGGTTAAATTCTGGTATATAATTTTTTTTAATTATAAGAGGATCTTAAGCTTTACAAAAGTATTCAATATCTAGACAAAGATGCTACAGTAAAGAGAGAACAGTGACTATAAAATTAATTTCCTTTTCACTTTGCCAAAGGCCAGATCCTATGGGGAAAATAAATAACATCACCTAATATTTGGTATTTTATGACACAGAGGGTCAGAACTCTTTCATATAACATCTTATTTGAGGCACATAAAGATTTTGGAGACTGGCAGGACGACATTAACAGAATCCTTAGTTTATAGGATAAATTCCATTCTCATAACAGCCTAAATGTATTCAAGGTCACGAGGAGAGTAAGAGACAGGATCACAGTTAGACCCGTCATCTGTCTCATGCTCCAGGAATTATGTAAACCTGGGTCTCTGAGTAACAGTTTCCATCTTTAAGCATCTTACCCTGAGCATATGTGGCTTCAGTGCTACCCACAAACAGGTGCAGGGGAATGTGCCTGGTTTCAGCTGGTAAAACATTAATGACTCCTTGGAGAAAAATGGAGTGAGCCTCATCAACGTACCCACTGCTATAATAATGGATTCCAGGTGAAGTAAATTGGTAAGAAAATGAACCTGCCATAGAATAAGATTGTGTGAAAATAAATACAGGCAATTAGTGCGTCTTTGCAAAAGGGGAAAAACATTGCAATGATCATTTAAATGCACATGCAGATGACAGGTTTCTTATTTTTCCCATGTATGATATTTCAATGGGCAGTAATAAAGAAATGACTCACTGACTATAAAAGAGCTATCTTGTATAATGAAATTATAGTCCAGGAAGACAAGATACAGCATTAGTTTTCCAGGAAAACATGGAAAGTCTGGCATAATTTACCAAAAACTCAACATGAAATTATTTTTGAAAAGCCTTAGATTTTGTTCATGAGTGAAAAATCCAAACTGCTTAGAACAACAGAGGTTATCTAAAAGTCACAATTTACACAAAATTGTTCTAGGAGAAATACTAATTTTAAAGCCAATTCTGGACAAGAGAGTTCATCACTTGCTATCAGATTGGTCTGATTAAAACATATATTCCTATTTTCAATGTATTTTGCTATTTCAATATAGTTTTCGAATGGCTCAGTATCACAAAATCAGTAAAGATATTTACAAGATTATAACTCATTTTAATACATATAAAATACCTTGCTGTAGCCAACGAATGGCATAGTAGTTAAGGTGCTAGACTCCCACATGGCTGACATGGTTTAAGTTCCGGACCTGGTGGCTTGACAATCACTCAGGGCGCATGTACATTTCCTCAGAATCTCAGGAGGAGGATGGAGGAGGAGGGATGGTGGCATCACTGTCCACCTGGGGGGTAATTTCTCACTTACCCTCTCACTGTCTCTCTCTCTCTCTCTTTCTAGTGAGCACATGTGACCTGTGACAAAAGCTAAAAAACAAGACACCCTGCTTACACTCATTTATAACATTTTTACTACTGCAATAAAATACCTACTAGATCATTTTATGCATTAATACATATTACTTGAGTGAAAATATTTAAATCTAAGCAAAATACCTTTTTATTAAATCTAGGAAACATACCTGATGTAGATTTCTGTCTTCTGTTTGTAAATCCTTTGCCGTCGTAAATCACACTTCCAGGACTGGAGACAGAGAAAACTCGAAATCCTATCCCTCTAAGAAATGGCTGTGCTTGCCAGTGCCAAATCACTGTGTCTCCCACAGACACGTTCAAGACTGCTGGTGACCAGGCATAACCTAAACCATGCACTGGGAATAAGAATTGCGTCATATTTTAAAAGAAAAAAGAAAAGGGAGTCAAATTTCTTAAGAAATATCTTTGAAAATGTTACAATTTTATGTAGCCACTAGTAGAAACAACTTTACAATTAACAGGTTGGAACAAAAAGTAAATAGAAATAGAAAGAAAGTGAAAAGACAGGGAAAAAGCAAGACGCACAACTCTGAAAGTCATGAATAAGAGAAAAATCGATAGACGTTGAAAACTCAATAAATAAGTTATCCAGAAATGCTACATGTAATATTTTTCAAAGCAATGATCGATTCTTTAAACGTAAGAATTTTCTGAGGCATAGAGACATGGAAAAATGTGAATATTCATTGGAAAGCCATGACTGATAATGAACTACACTAACGCAGCCATTCTGAACTGTGATAGTAATTCAGAGGGTCAGTACTGCAACAAGGCAAATGGCAATCCTGATCTTGGAAATTACGAAGTCTCGCCTTCTAGACTCCAATCTACCACCGATTCACTCTGTATGTGACCCCTTATGTCAGGCAGCTCCCATTGACAAAATTTAAAATAAAGAACAATACTTATCTGACTAAAGTATAAAATAAATAAAAATGAAGTCTAAGGTAAAATGCTTCCATTATTCACAATACATAAATATTGGCTAATACCTGAATCCTCTCCATTATTGGTAACCTTGAATACATTCCCTGTTGAATGAAGAATACATTTTATGACATTTTCTGATGATGATACCACATTGCAAGGGAAGGACCCTAGAAAGAATTAAATGGGAAAAAATTTTCTCAAATTATTTCTATTGACTACAATATAAGGATAAACTATAATCAGTAAATAGTCAGGAGCCTGCCAACACTTTGCCTTATGTAGTAGGATATTTGGTACAATACTTTTTTCTAAGAGTAATCATGTTTGAGTACTCATTATTTTAGGAGCAGTGCTCTCCCCTTACTGAGCTGTTCTACATATTAATATATGTGTGTGTGTGTGTGTGTGTATATACATATATATATATATGTATATATAGCTTCTCTCTATCACCATAACCAAATATACTTAACTTTTAAAAACTAATAGAAAAGTAAAGCTTTATGATTGAGTGTATTCATGTAATAACTCAGCATCTATAGCACATTCTTTAAACTGAGGAAAATGATAGCAGCCCTTCTATAAAATGAAACTCTTACCTAAGAGGACGGTATTCTCAGTTGGTATTGTGCTGAACCCAAAACCCGTTAAAGTGATTTCAGTTCCACCATACAAGGAGCCTTTCTGTGGAAACATACTGGTCACTTCCAGAATATATTCTATGGAAGCATTTAACTTGTCCCTAAAAATAAAAATATAGGTAAATAAATAAACGATTGGTTCATATTGGTATAACTTTTTCTAGGATATGATTACTTTAAGAAGAAGAAATAATTTGATATTTAAGACATTACTTTTTCTTCTTTTTTTTTTTGGAGAGATTTTTGCTATATGGCGCGCGCGCTAGCCAGACAGAGAGAGAGACATAGAGACAGAAAGCGAGAAATCACCCCCCAGAGGGGATGGTCACGCCACAATCCCTTCTCCTCCATTCTCCTCTCGGGATCTTGGGCACACACGCACACGCGCCCGGCGTGAGTTGTAAGCCACCAGGTCCAGGATGCGAACTGCGGTCAACTACATGGGAGTCCAGTGACATAGCCATTATTCTAACTGCTGGTTCTCAAGACATTACTTTTTAAAGCTTGAAAATCTGGTAGTTATTATAAACTCAATTTGGTTAGATGGTAGATTTAATAATTTTCCCCTCACTTTGAAAATTGGATTTATGAAAAATATCATGGCAGAAGAATTTGAGATGGAAAATATAAAAATATTATGGACAAATATGGATAGTAAAACTGAAGTTACAAGAAATACCTAAAATCCTTGAATATATTTTATATTTTCTTTAGAGTAAACAGAAAGCTCCACCTATTAATAAAAGAATAGGAATGAAATCCTATGCATTGTATATGAGTAATTTGTATAAGTGATTTAAATGTATCATTCCATGCTGTTGGAAACTTGTAAAGATTTCCCTTCCCACTATTTCAATGAGAATTTTAAATTTTTTTGCTTTGTTACAATGTGTCTTCTAAGAGACATCAAAATGTACAGTCCTTTTGCACCTGACATGCAAAATTGACTCCCACATCCTGGCTCCCAAAATAAATGCAGAGAGGCAGAGACACTCTAATGAGTCATTGTGTTAACTTTTATAGAACTTCCACAGCATAACTGAATTGATGCTTTTCAAACCACCACCTGAATCCCAAATACACCATTCTGTATGGTGTCAGTTCTGCCCATCATGTCTCAACAGAAAGCACAAGTGACAGCTTTTCTGAAACCATGTGGGCTCTGCCCTGTGACTCTAAGAGGGGATGTAACCTTGAGGTTTATGCTTGCTGTTCTTGCTTTACCTTCTGCAAAATTTTACTGCAATCTTCTCTCCTTTCACTCTGGCATCCACTTTATTTGCCTTTTTAATCATCAGATTTCAGTTTCCTCTTTTCCTAAGTATTTCAAATCAGTAACTTTCTCAGATCAGAACTAAAATTTTAACAGTTAACTGTTTCAGGGAAGAAAACACTAATCAAGCTACAGGAAATAGAGTTGGAGAAGAATTCATTCTATCCTCTCCATGCAGCCGGCTCCTATCCATTTTTTGACTTAACTGTTGCCTTTTCAGAGAATCCTTACCTGGCCTCAGAATGTTAGTTCTCTCTACAATATACTCTTAGCATCTGGTACCTCTTTGTCATAGTCTTTTTCACATTAATAATCCAGTTATTGATGTAATCATCTCTATGATATCTATCATTCTAACAAAATTCTGAGCACTATTAATGCAGAAGGCATGCCCCTCTTACTCTCCACCATGAATCTAGCACTAAGCAAGTGCCTGCCTTTAGAAATTGCTTGATAATTATTTCTTGAATGAATGAAAATCATGTGACATACACATAAACCTAGTTGCACAGAGAATTTCACAACCAGATCTGAATAATATTGCTCAAAAGTAAGTTTACTATTGCTCTTTATGAGATTTTCTCTGAATCTTTTTTTTTTTTTTTTGGAGAGGTTTTCACTACAGGTGCATGTGCTCGCCAGACTGACAGAGAGAGACAGAGAGACAGAAAGCGAGAAATCACCCCCCAGGGGGGATGGCCACACTGCAATCCCTTCTCTGTTCTCCTCTCATTTGAATTTGTTTCCAGATGCCAGAATTTTATGATATTAGATTTTCTCTGAATCTTTTTTTTTTTTTTTGGAGAGGTTTTCACTACAGGGTGCATGTGCTCGCCAGACTGACAGAGAGAGACAGAGAGACAGAAAGCGAGAAATCACCCCCCAGGGGGGATGGCCACACTGCAATCCCTTCTCTGTTCTCCTCTCAGGATCTTGGGCATGCATGCACACACACCCAGCGTGAGTTTTAAGCCACCTTGTCCGGGAAGCGAACCGCGGTCAACTACGTGGGAGTCCAGTGACATAGCCATTACGCTAACTGCTGGTCCCATCTCTGAATCTTTTACAAAGAGATGTAGAAAGGTAAAAGCAATGATCTTATAATAGATTAATGGTTATTCTTCCATCCCAATTCTATTAGCCCATGTGTTCCACAACTCCATCAAGTTTATATTCATTACCATACCTTGTTGATGCAAAACCCCAGTTTCTGACTTCTACATAGATGTCATGTTTACCAGGAGACAGGTTGGGCAAAAGGCATTTAATATCTGTGAAGTTCCAGCAAAGAACTTGGCAAGTTTTTCCTCCAACATGCACCACCACGTTTTGTGTTTGTTCATTTCCAAAGTTATAACCCTTAATTGTTAAATTAACTTCTCCTATTATGTTAAAAGAAAATAAAGTTTTGTAAAAAGAAAAAAAAAAGGGTCACATTATCTATAGTGAAAATTGCATATTAAATAAACCAATTTTTCTCTCCTGTTTCATTTATATAATTTAGAAAATCCTAACCATTTCAGAGGCAAAAGGAAAAATAATGAAAGAGTTAATAGCTGCCACAAAGGTAAAATTTATATTTAATTGCTTCACATGGAAAAAAGTGGCAAAGTGTTTTTAAATACAATATATCTCTCCTATTGCACATGTTCAAAGAGAAATAATAAATGATTTATTGTAAGCACACACAACTTGTGACTAGTTTCACTTTAAGAAACAATACCACAGGAAAAAATTTGCTTCAAATGCCCTTCTAGAAATAATATCTATAAATCAGTGTCAAATGACTAATCCTATTGAGGAATTCTTACCTAGTATTGTTCGTACTTTTGGACTGAAATCAGTCATAACTGGAGTCTGTAAACAACTATAACTAAAAGCATCTTTCACTGTGGCTTCAAATCCATTGGTAATAACAGAAATATCGACTGTGCCCTCAGTTCTCTAAAATAAAAGAAAAAAGTGAAAAAATAGTAAATGTTGAGATGTGAAAATCCAGTGACTGAAAAAATAGAATAATTCAAAATAAACTTCAGAAGGTGTCTTATTTCAGTCATAAATCAGGATCGGTTTCCAAATATTTAGAAAATTATGGTGTCAAATATAGGTTGTATATTTTAATTCTCAAGATAATGCATAGGATGGGGTCTTCAAAAAGCTCATGAAATATGCATATTATGAAAAAACTATGCATGGATTTAAAAATCTTTTGCACCAACGTAAGCTTATACCTAAATTCCATTTTTCCAAGAATTATTTTTTTTAGAGAAAGAGATTTTTGTTGTAGGGCGCGTGTGTTCACTGGAGAGACAGAGAAAAACAGAAACAGAATGTGAGAAGTAGTCCCCCAGGGTGATGCCCACCCCTCAATTCCTTCTTCTCCATTCTCTTGGGATTTTGAGCATCCACACATGTGAGTTTCAAGCTGCCAGGTTCAGGACTCAAACCACGGTCGACCATGTGGGAATCTAGCACCTTAACCACTATGCCACCTGCTGACCCCTTTCCATGAATTTTTGAAGTCTTCTTATATGATACAGTGGTTTTAAGGACATTATTTTCACTTTAAATGTATCTACATTATTGCATTACTGAGCGCTCCACAATATAATTGAGATATTCTGGACAAGTGATTCTCTAATTGATAAAGCATACAATACTAAGAGCTCTTTTTCCTCTTCAAATAGTTAAATGTAGTTTTTATTCCTCTTGCCTGAAAAATCACAGTATTTCACTTTTCACTGACTTAGTTTCAGAATCCAAGACTTAGACTTCTAAGAAAAATATTAGCTGTTTTCACTGCTAGAAGCAATTTCTGATTAGGAAAACCAGTTTTCCACTCTGTAATATGTATTCCATATACACTCAGTGTTTAATTGAATGACATAATTTAAATAAAGTAAATTTTAATTCGTCATAATCCCATAGATGCTCATCCTCATCATTCAGTCCAATACATGTTCAAATTTATTTTTCTTGCAGATACAACTGTATAATGACCCCATTTAATCGGACACATTTTAAAAAATGTCAGTGATTGGATTCACCATCTTTTTGCACTTACTAAGCAAGTCAGAGTCTTGGTTTACATGTAAACACCTATTTGTAAAATAAAAAATAATTGGGCTGGCAGGTGGCATGGTGGTTAAGGAAGCTGGACTCCCACATGGCTGACTACAGTTCAAGTCCTGGACCTGGTGGCTTTCTCTCTCTCTCTCTCTCTCTCTCTCTCTCTCTCTCTCTCTCTCTCTCTCTCTCTCTCTCTCTCTCTCTCTCTCTCTCTCTCTCTCTCTCTCTGTCCTTCTCTGGTCAAATTAAAATAAACAAATACATAAAGTTAAATAAAATCATTCTTTTAAAAATAAAAGTGATTAGTCCTAAGATGCAATACTCCATTGGAGAACTTCACCATTTTTATTTTTTTGTCAACAAACCAAAACTTTAACACATTAAAAAATATTTATATTCCTGGGCTGGTTTTGTGACACAGAGGTAATAGTAATGTGCTGCTCAAGAGAAGTTGGATCTTTTGCAATCCTCAATGTGGGCAGTCTGAAGCATGTGAGGTACAGCAGTGTTCGTGATCCATCCAACAGGCTGGAGGACTGGAGAAAGCAGATGTGCTCTGTCTCACTCTCACATACATATGAACGCACTATCATGAGTAATGATAAAGGATAATAAATGCATACACACACACACACACACACACACACACATATATATATATACATATGTACATAACATATTTCTTTTTTTTTTTAGAGATTTTTGCTGTAGGGCACATGCACTTGCCAGAGAAATAGAGACAGAGAGACAGAAAGTGAGAAATCACCTTCCGGGGGTGGGGGGATGGCCATGCTGCAATCTCTTCTCCATTCTCATCTTGGGATTTGGGGCATGCATGCACATGCACCTGGCATGAGTTTAAGCCACCAGGTTTGGGACTCGAACCACAGTTGACTGGAAGTACAGCAACATAACCAATACGCCATCTATTGGCCCCTATATATTCTTTTTTACAAATTTAAAAATTTCTAGATTTGCTGCCCTGAAGTTTTGAGGATATTTATTAATACTGAGTTTTTTTCATCCTTTGGTTTACTTGGTAAACTCCCATTCATCCTCAAGCACTGATAGGACATCCAGTGAACTTGTTTCTGACACCATTTACTCACTATATTTGTCTTTACTCACTATATTTGTCATCTACCTTTACTTCTATGAGTTCTAATGTTACACAATGTTTATTATTAGTTTATGTGTCTGTCTTTTTTCTTTCACAATTTTAAGTATGGAGAATGTATATATAATTTGTCTTTGAATCTTAGCAGAAAGATGTTGAAGAAATAATTGTTATAGAGTGTTAACAGGAGTCATCCCCACAGCATGGTGGTTAAGGGCTGCCGAGAGAAATCCTGATCCCACATGGTCATTAAGTGTTCTAGCCCTGACCCCAGCTGCTTGAGAAACACACCAGGGACACATTGTGCACACAGAAAATTGGAGGATAAAGGATTGAGGCGGGACCAGGCTCCATAGTTTAAGCCACTCTCTCTCTCTGTCTCTCTCTCTCTTGCTCTCTCTCTCTCTCTCTCTCTCACACACACACACACACACACACACACACACATCCCACACAGTCTCTAACAGTAAGAGGAGGAAAAAAAAAGTATAACTGAAACTCTCCAGTTCCTAGGTAAATATGACACTTGTTTCACCCTCTACTAAGATGTTCCCCAAATCATAAGATTTCAAACATTGGGAGAAACTCAAACAGATGCCTTACTTTTGGTGTTCTGCAGGTTATCTTATTCAAATCCCCTTCAATCACGTTGCAGGTTTCATTTCCAACCAATACCTTCGACTGTTCATTAAAGCCAAATCCAGATATAGTCAGTAGAGTACCACCTTTATGGGAAAACAAAACCAACAAACAAAATAAAATAAAAATACAGATCAAGTATAACCAAAAACAACAACAACAACAACTTTGTCAAAAATCTAACTCCTCATTCAGTAACCAATCATCTAAGAAATAAATCGGCAAATCAAGGGCCAGACTGAAGATGTGTACAGTCACCAGCACACATGACCTCTGCAGCCTGGTGGTCCCATAAAGGTGCTGGGCTAAGTGATTTTATGAAATCACATGGATTTTCACCCATGTTTGCTTTGGGGCATTACTAACAGCAATTGCTATTTTATTCACAGTGCTTTCTTCATCCTAAAGAGAAATTACGCTGTTTCTACTTCCTCAACCCTGTCATGGGTGAGAAATAGGGGTGAAGGAATACTCTCACCAAATCCCGAATTTTAATGCCTCTAAGTAAAGGAAAAACTAATAAAATAAACACATTAAAAAGATAAAAACTGAAGCACAAAATCCAAAACTAAGTATAGTAAAACAAACAAACAAAAAGAAGAGGAAGAAAAGAAACACAAAAGAAATGAAGCAGGACAGGAAAAAGTGTGTTATTTTCTTTCCATCTCTGTGTCAGACTTCTTTTCCCCAATTTGTTCCCAGAACTTTTTCTGGGTCAAGTAGCTCCACTGAGACTGTGGTTACAAATGGAGCAGCTGGTAAGCAGAATAATAACTAATAAATCTTAACTTGACATAATTGATGAGCTTGTTATAGAAACATGTAATAATTGATGATATTAATTCAATAACCTAAGATGTAAGTAGAAGCAGTCACTCTGACTCATGTTTCATAGGAAACAAAAGAATCAGTCAGCCATTTAATCACTGTGGCTTTTTTAATTCTTATTTTAATTTTTACAAAGCAAAAATTACGGAACATTTTTTTCCAACAGAAAACTTACATCTTTTGTATGTTAAATATGTCTTTCCTTTACCCCTAATACCGACTTTCTACTCCCCACTCCCCTTCTTTACAGTCTCTGATATATATACTTATTTGTTCTACTAACATATTTTTGGATCTTTCAATTTATGCCAAAGAGTACAGACATTTGGTATATATTAAGAAGGAATATACTAAATAAGCCAGACATTGAAAGATACACACTGTATATCCCTAATCACTGTGGCTTTTCAAAGGAGGTAAGTTTAGGTTCCTCTTCCTTAGCCCTGTATTGGAAACAGCTCATTGTAAATGATGAAAATGCTTGCAATTTTCTGTTTAGAACTATCAGCTCTTACCTGCTAGGCTTCCAGAAGCAGGCCAGGTGTGTGAGATCTGACTCTGATAGAGAAAGTGGACTCGCTCACCCTCCACATTCTGTGCTAGTCCAACATCGGCCATGGACACAGCAACCGGGACGTGCCCAGCACTTCCATTCAGAATCTGGCACTTGATCTCATTTCCTTGGGATAGCAAAGGAAGTGATAAAACAAAATGGTTTTGTGAGATAAAATGACTGAAAATTTTTATTTGTGGATATTAACATTAGTCTATATTTTTATGTCCCGAGAAATAGATCTATCTAAAGAAAACTACACATATGTTAATGGAGGGAGCAATGTCTAGGGAAAAATTCTGAACAAAGTACCTGATACTATGAATGAGACACTCCTAAAAAAAATGCTTAGTTGAACCAGTAATAAATGAAAGGTAAACAATTTGCTCTGATTGCTCTTGTAGCCCCCAGAAAGGACTATATAATCAGTTTTTAAATGAACTTAACAGCTCATTTATATCAGAAATTCTAAACTTTTGAGTTCTACATATTATCCAAAATTGAATAAAATACCAGATTTTATGAAGAAAAGTGATCAAAAAGTAAATGAACACTTTTTTTTTTTTAGAATAGTCAGTGTATCCTCATAATAAAGAATGGGTATTGACTTCTAAATCTCAAAAATGCATAGGTCTAAATTAAAAACAATATAAATGATTTGGTAAATAAATTTAGTTAAGAGGACCAGCAGTTAGCATAATGGCTATGTCGCTGGACTCCCATGTAGTCAACCGCGGTTCGCGTCCCGGACCCGGTGGCTTAAAACTCACACCGAGCACGTGTGCATGCGTGCCCAAGATCCTGAGAGGAGAATGGAGGAGAAGGGATTGCGGCATGGCCATCCCCCCTGGTGGGTGATTTCTCGCTTTCTGTCTCTCTGTCTCTCTCTGTCTGTCTGGTGAGCACACGCGCCCTATAGCGAAAACCTCTCCAAAAATAAAATAAAATAAAATAAATTTAGTTAAGTAATTCTAATCTATTAACATTTAAAAAAAAACAGGATTATGAAAGTTGCCTTTTAGGGAAATAAACAATTAAGGCTCTTACTATTTCAAGAGGTAGAAAATGTAAGTGGTCTTTATATTCTATGTCAATTGATAAAAGTTCCATTGGACTGTAAGTCGGGGAAGACAGCATATACTCTTGCCATGGTACTAATGTGGCCCTGTCTAGGCATGAACAGAGGGGATGAAGGAATACTACAGAGGTAATTTATACTGTGTCCCAAAGATACCCTAATGTGGGAAAGATTTCATGCAACTAATTTATGAAGGAAAACTAAAACAAGTATTAATTCTTATGGGATGAAGACACCATATATAAATGACATGATTAGTCCATGTTTATAAAGATTAATAAGATAAAGCATTATTCAAACTAAACTGCCAATTTCATGGCTCTGTGGAGTCTTCTATAGGATAATCATAACTGTGATACCATTCTTTGATTCTATGTTCTCTTAGAGAAAAGCTGTTAGAGCTAATACTTTTAACAAAGACCTACCATCCACAGAAAGCAGAGTACAGTCTTCTGATCCAACTGACACTGATATTGCTGAAGCAGGAGAAAATCCAGAGCCTACTATGGTTAGAATTGTGTTTTCATGATAGGAACCTAAAAGTGATAAATTTAAATAACAATATTAAAATGGCAAAATAGAATCTATTGTAATGAAATCAGATATTTCTCAGAGAAAAACAAGCTTATCTTCTAAAAGGTATAGACAAATCTAAAAATCAGCAGGGAGGAATAAACCACAGTTACTTGGTAATAGTATTTTTTTAATGATATTTAATTCACTGGTATTAAATTTAGTCTACATTGCTTTTTGCTTTTTTTTTTTTTTCCCAGTTTTTGCTGTAGAGCATGTACACCCATGAGAGAGAAAGTAAGAAATCACCCCGCATGGAAGATGGCTATGCTTCAATCCTTTCTCCACTCTCCACTCAGAATTGGGGCATGCATGCACACACCCCTCGCGTGATTCTTAGGCTGCCAGGTCTGAGACTCGAACCACAAAGCTAAGCCAAGGATCTAGCACCTTAACCTCAATGTCACCCACTGTCTCCAATGCTTCATATTTTGAATCTATGTATTGTCAGAGATTAGTGGAAAGAATTATCTGACCGAAAGTATGAAATGAGGTAATAAGGGAAAATTAATCTTAGAATAAATAAATTAAATAGACATCTCTACATAGTAACTTGGCAGACAGACTTGCCATCACAAATTCATGAGGAAAAGATAAAATGTAGAGTGTATATAGCAGGCACATCATTTGAAAAGTAAGATTTTTCTTACCAGTGGCATGTATATCCAGAGTGCCTGTAATAGTTCTGGCTTATACTACTATCCCAGTATCTTTATATTTCATGGCTTTTCATTCCTTCTTGAAAGTGCCTACGTTTGACCAATAAATGATATGACCACCCTTTTACCTAACCTCATACATAATATAGATTCCACATGGATTTAAATAGCCAAGAATGAAAAACAAAGCTCTAACATTTTATCAGGAAATAGAGCAAAACATCTTAATGACTTTGAGGTAGAGATGCATTTCTTAAATTAGAGACAAAAAGCTATGGTTAACCACAAAGGAAATGACACATACATGAGAATAGATCAGTGATTTAAATATTTCTCTGAACAAGATTCTAAACCAAAATACATGTGACATACAGAAAACAAACATGTGCAAACATATAATAAACAGCAGTCAATAAGAGAAAGACAATCCAATAAAAATAATATGTGAAGCAATGAGTAGAAAGAAAAGTAATCTATCTGAAAGTTAAAAAAATTTGAGAATATACACACTGCACTACCAATTGAGGAATAGACAAAACAATTATAAATAACTTCTTTCACCTATCAGATTGGTCAAAATTAGGAAGCCGAAATTTTAAAATACTGGCAGGGATATGGGGAAGATGATGTTCTGCTGCTTGTCGAGCCACTTTAGAGACCAGTTTGCTCATTCAGTAAACTGAACACGCACACACCAAATTATCCAAATTATTATCCAGCAATTCTAAGTCCAGGCACATAGCCTAAGGGAGTCCATATGCAATAAGAAAGTTGTAAAAGAAATCCCAATATAGTCTTATTTTTAACACCAAAACATTATAAGTAATCTAAATATCTATCAATCAATAAATTAATAAATTGGTATATTCATGAATCACTTTCATGAATTGAATGTACATAAAACTATAAAATATATATTAAAGTGAATGATGAATAACAGGATATAAACTGATATTTACATTTACATTCTAATATCTCATTCCTAAGCTTAAAAAACTGACAAAATTGTGATGAATGTGTCATATACAAAAATTACTAAAAAGGGCATGAAAGAATACCCACAAAATGAATAATGGTTTCCCCTGATAAACTTTATAGAGGACTAGGACTAGGGATGGTGCTTAAGCTTTAACTGTTCCCATAACACTTTGTTTCTTAAATTGCTAATTGGAAGTAAATATAACAAAATGTTCATAGCTATTAACTTTCAGTGAAGAGGGTTTTTTTTTTTTTTTTGGAGAGGTTTTTGCTATAGGGCATGTGCACTCACCAAAAAGACAGAGAGAGAGAGAGAGATTGAGAGAGAGAGAGAGAGAGAGAGAGAGAGCAAGAAATCACACACCAGGGTGGATGGTCACGCTGCAATCCCTTCTCCTCCATTCTCCTCTTGGGATCTTGGGCACGTATGCACACGTGCCCGGTATGAGTTTAAGTCACTCGGTCCAGGACTCGAGCCACGGTCAACTACATGGGAGTTCAGCAACATAGCCATTACGGTAACTGCTGGTCCCCAGTGAAGAGATTTAAAAACAAAATTTAGGAGTATTCTTTACAATTATATTTTCATTATTTTAAAATTGATTGAAATATGGCAAAAGACAATTCAGGTTGTAAATTATTTTGAACAAGAAATATTTTTCAGGCCAGCAGGTGGCATGGAGTATAAGATGCTGGCTCCCACATGGTCAACTGCACAGTTCAAGTCCTAGCCCTGGCAGCCTGAAAATCACAACAGGTATGTGTGTGTGTGTGTGTGTGTGTGCCCTAAAGCAAAGAAAATTGGAGGAGAAGGGGCTGAAGCATGGCTATCCTTCTTGGGGAGGGATTTCTCACTTTCTCTCATCTGTCTTTCTCTCTCTCTGGTGAGTGTCCTATAACAAAAAATTTTTAAAAAAAAATGTAAGAAATATTTCTTTCAGTAAGTTCATGTAAAAGTGAGAATTCATTACAAACTACAAAAATATGGGAAAATATAAAGGTACCAAAAGACTATAATCAAATTAAAGCTCATCAAGTCTCTATTCTTGAGTTTTGATCCATGTAACATGAATTATCCCAAAGTCAATAGCACTATTGTAAAAGAGTATGAACAGCATATTATTTCAGCACATAGATGCACTATTTAAAATTTTTCAATGCTGATTTTAAATTAGCAGGTGAATTTTCCTACTAAGATTAAATATGTGGTTACAGTATTTAAGTTTTCATTTGTGATTTCGAAAAATACCACACTTTACAATCTGTATACCTCCTGTTTATTTCCATCCTTCGGTTCTCAGACACAAAGCATAATCATATTTTTAAGCAATAACATACTAGAAAGATACACTACAATATGTTCCATAGAGGAGTTCTTGACAGTTTTCCTCTCTCTTATTCTCAGATCTAGGACTTAACTATTTTCTTTTATTAAACAGCAGCTGTCTTGTTACCAATCTTTTAATATTAAATCTTCTAGAAGAAATGTTCTGAAATGATGAAAGATTCCAATAAATATCCTGGCTAGTAGAGTTGAACCAAAATGCCTCCAAATCTAATCGTAGAGAATTATTCTAACTAGTAAGAAATAAAAGAACTGGAGATTGGAGGACTGGTGAGTCCTCTACTTTAAAGATTTGTTTGTGGGAACCAGCAATTAGCGTAATGGCTATGTCGCTGGACTCCCACGTAGTCGACGGTGGTTCGCGTCCCAGACCCAGAGGCTTAAAACTCACGCCGGGTGCGTCTGCGTGCATGCCCAAGATCCCGAGAGGAGAATGGAGGAGAAGGGATTGCGGTGTGACCATCCCCCCTGGGGGGGGGGGTGATTTCTCGCTTTCTGTCTCTATGTCTCCTATGTCTCTCTCTGTCTGTCTGGCGAGCGCACGCGCCCTAGAGCAAAAACCTCTCCAAAAAAAAAAAAAGATTTGCTTGTGGCTCTAGTGTGTCTGTGGTCACCAGAGAAGGATAGAGAGACCTGGAAAGAGGGAGAGGAGAAAGCAATCCCCCTCCCCATATGGGAATGGTTGT